TCTATATACGAACCCCCATACTTTGGGGCCTGAGGGTAGTTTCTTGGCTTGGGGCTGAGGGCTTACACGGTAGAGAGGTCAAGGCAGCTTAGGGCTTCCGATGTGGGGCTTGGGGTATAAACTTCCGGTTTAGGTCTAGGGCTTAGGGTTTAGCATTTAGGGTTTAGGGACCTAAAGCTTGGTATTGAGGCTTAAATGCCAGGAGCTCGGAGTTTGGCAGATCGGGTTGCTAAGCATAGCCCCTAGCGAGCAGCTCCAGCAGCACCCAAACCCCTTGAACCCTCTGACCCCTGTAGCTGCCGAGGTGGTTGTCGGAAGATGACCTAGGCAGCAAACACAAATGTGTTTAGATGCGGTCAGAGGCGCTTCGCTGAGCTTGCTCGGGTGGTCAAGCACCAAGAGAGGTAATGGGAGGTACTGCCTTGAGGACTTCTAGACAAGCTTCCAGCGGCGAGAGGTCCTGATCGGCAGAGATCGCTTCTCCTTAGTTGTGATCGCCCAGGCCGCATGCGAACAGCCCTCGAGGGTGAAAGCCACCGTTCCAGTCTGCGCGTAGATGTGCAGCTCGAGCTTCGGGTCCTCCCGCTGGAGCCGGAGCATCCACAGTCGGAGCTGCCTGGGCTGGTACTGGAGCTGTCCGAGCTTGTACCGTCTGTGCCTGAGCTGGTTCTGCCCTGCCGAGTTGCTGCAAGTCTTTCACTGCTTGCAAGTACGCTTCTGCCTTAGCTTGCGGTACTTCAGCGTCTCTACGTTTTTTCGCTCTTTGTTCAGTTCGTTCGCGAGGTCGTCGGCCCTTTGCCGCTCCTCCTTTGAACGGCCTTTTTCGTCTTGGTCAGTGGTCAGCTTCAGCGCACACTCGCACCATCCAAAATTGCACTGATGCTGAAGCCTCAACATTTCGATGATGTCTGGCATGCGTCCCAAATTACACCTAGATTGGTGAGCTAGTTGAGGAAGACAAACTTCTGGTGCAAGACCCTATGAACACCAACTGAACCTCACAAAACTTCAATAACACCCCCTTGGTCAGAGAAATATAGAAGCCACTCAGAGTTTCTCAGCATACCAACTCTTTTCAAAAGAGGAAACTGGAATCAATGAAACCCAAAAACCTTTCAGTTCTCTCAGGGCCTTCACAAGCAAGGCCTTTCAGACCGGATCCTGCAAAGACCCATATCCCCAACCAAGTGAGGCCATCGAAACCAGCCCATCTAGAAGCATATGTATACATCTATATGTGTGTGTATATATTATATACACATGTGTATATATATATATAACGTACATAGAGGTGGAAGCTGGCTGTTTAGGAGCACCCAAACCCCTCGACAATCTGAGACCCCAGCCCGGTCGAGCTGGCGGTGCGTTCTTTGATCCTGGCCGCCGGCCGGAAAAGGCTTGCGGTGTACAAAAATAACTAGGATGCCCAGTGACCTAGGAATAAATTGGGCCCCTTTTTGGTATTGGGTCACTTTATGCTTGCGGTGTACTACTACTTTTTGCTATACATATACTTATAGTACTATATATGTCTATACTTTTCGTCAAAACTGGGATGTAGGTTTTGGGGCTCTGAAAAGTATTTATGAATAGGTACCTCTATAGGAACCATAAAGGGAAATTAAAACGCTTCCCAAATTGCCACCTAGAAAAATGATGTGAAGCTTCCTCGGGCACCAGGTTTAGAGGGTTTAGGGGCTTAGGGTTTAGCTTACGGGATACAAAAACGGCATGAGTTGTAAGTGGTTTACAGGGCTTAATCGGGTTCTACGTTGCTTACTGAATACTTTGAACAGGGCTCGGCGAATATGTCATAATACATAATATAATTGTATAGGGACTACAACAAGGTAATTTTGCTTGCATATATCACCATGCATGCACACACGTGCACGCACACACACACACACAAACACACACACACACACACACAACACACACACACAAGGACCTACTTCGGGCTCTTAAGTCCATGAACAGTGCTTAAATGTTGGGATAGCCACACAGGGAAGGTGTACCGTTTGCATATGGGTAGTTCTCTGAGTTGGGCCCTTTTCATAAGGGTGCCGTACTCCTAAAGAGGGACGAGGCCGTCTACAGGTCCAGTTGTTGTATTATACGGCTATACCTCTCTTTTTACTTTAGGTGTCCCTACTGCTCCAGTAACCTAAGCCTCTAAGCAGTGTCTCAAACAGTCCCTCAGAAAGCAACCCAAAACCCTAAACCTCATATCATAAGGGTCCTGAAAAGTAGGATTGGGCTATATTTTTGTACTAATTGTTCAGACCCCTCTGTCACTCTGAGCCATGAACCCCGTTTCTCTTCTCAGGCTCTGGCGCTACGCGGCTGGATGGTGGCTGCTCGATTGACTCCTGTGGGTCCGCCTGCTGCGGTCAAAGACACGGGTGCTGGGTGTCCTACTACAGGGTCTTAATAAGTAGAATAGGGTTTTGGGGCCCGGAATACTATCATTGTAATAGGGAGCTCCCAAAATAGTATAACACATAATTATTATTGGCCCCTATATCAGCGAGCCTTGGTAGTTGGTGTTATGATCAGTGCCGCTGTGATGCAACTGTCATTATGCTTGCACTGTTGCTCATAATGGTAATGAGGCTTCCGGGGTGACACTGATGAGCGCGGCGATGGTCGTAGTGACGATAAGGATGAGAAGCCGTCATGTTCATAGTGACATAGTGATGCTTGAAGTAATGATGATGCTGCGGTACGGCAGTGAAGCTCCACGCCCCCAAAAACTACACCGCTCCACACCTCAGATTAGATGTGGGATAGAGTCGAGACAGAATCCTCTCGAAAAAAGTCCAGATACCTGGAGGCCAAAGGTTTGTGGAGTTCGAGAGTACAGTGGCAGCGTGGGTCCAGGCCGCCGAGGCCGAGCATCGGTTTAGGGTTAGGATCCTCGGCGACTATACCTGGACCCCAAAGTATGTAGAATAATAGCCTTTTATAGGTTTTGGGCCATTATTTTACCTGATTTTGAGGGTCTAGGTAATGGCTGGCCTACTTACTTGAAGGATCAGGGGACTTGGTAAGTAAGGTTGAATAAAACGTCCCTTCTTCCCCTTATGTGCTCCACTGCTCGACCCGCCTTCTGCGGTCCCTTAGCATCTTCGTTTACCCAGACCCCCGGGACGATCCAAAAAGTAGATCCCTTAATGGGGGTTCCTATAAAGTACACATAGTAGCATAGGGCCCCAAACTAGGGGATCTACCAGATCCTCCCGGGGGTCTCGGTATCTGATGCAGAGAGCCAGGAAGCATAGGCATGATGTTGGCGATGGTTCGGAGCACAGCATAAGGGTGCTACCAGGGTCCTATATGGGTAGTTCTCTAAATTAGGGTCGCATTTTGGGTCCCCGCAATAGTACAGCACCCTTCTAGAAAGGACCCTAAATTTAGAGAACTACCCATATACTAAAACAAGGCTTTCGAGTCTGCAACTTCTTTAAGCTGGTGCTTGGATGCCATCAAGCCCAACGCTATACTTGCCATCCAGAGATTTGATGTATTTTACATGTAGAGCTTAAGGGTTTGGGGTTGAGGGTTTGGGGTTTAGGGTTTGGGGCTTAGGATTCAGGGTTTAAAAGTTTAGGGCTGCAACTTGACGCATTGTTACTCATCCTCGCATGTGCCTCGTCTTTAAACTGCATTCTCCGCTCTGGGTTTCCAGAAAACCTTTGCGATGCATCGAGCGCGACCAAACCAGTCAAGCTCAAGTCATCGGCAGTTACGCAATCACCTTAACTTGCATCCAGCAAACACACAGATGCTGCAGCGGAAACCCCCAAACCCTCACCTTGAACCAACCAAAAAACCCATGCCCTAAACGAAGCTGCAAGTTCAAGGTCATGAGGCCCAGCTAAGTATAGGTAGGATTTTGGGCTTAAAGTTCCAGAGTTTTTATTTGTTAAAGTTCAGTGCACCTTTGACCCAAGCAAGAGTTTAGGGCTAACGGTTTCAGTTGAGGCTCCTTCGCTATAACCTACAGAGTGCCCCAAGGCACCATATCATAACCATAGCGACACTACATTGAGGTTTTCTGGGCGTAATTGGTAGCCTTCTTATGGATCCCTCATCGATCCCTTGAAGGGAACCCTAGGAACTCTTTAGCCAATTATTTAGGCCCCTCCATTAGGGTCTTTTGCTGCCCCGAGATTGCCTTTTGCGGGTCCCGAGGAGTAGACTTCGGTGGGTCAGCTTGGTCCCTGGCGCAAAGAAGATGCTGAGACGGATTCAGGGTACAGGGGTCTAAGGGTTAGGGATTAGGGGTTTAGGGATTCAGGGTTTAGGTTTTCCCTAAACCCTTTACCCAAACAGCCCACTACGATGTAGTTGTAGAGAAGTCGTTGAATAGCATTGGAAAACCCACAGGTATAATAACAATTGCACTCAAAAATGTAAAACCACGAAGAATCAGGAAAATGAAATACTTGAAGGGGTATCCTTCATTGGTTGAACATACTACTACACAAAAATCAGAATTGTCCCGAAACGGAAAGTAAACTAACCTTTCTCGAGAAAGTCTCCAAGTTAGGTACACCAGAAAAGTGTTGCAGCTCACTGCTGGCTGGAGGGAAAGATTCAGGGAGAGGTCAAGCTCGAGGGAGTGGGTCGGGGGCGACTGCTGTATGGCTGCTGTAGGAGTTTCTATTACGAGATTAGCGCGTCCATGTTTCTAACAGCCACTAGATGGGAACGTCGACCTTAAGGGAGGGGGTCAGAATGGTAGCCCAGGAACCGCCAGGGCTTCGGTGAACGCTATGAGCCGCAACCAAATTCCGACCGTCTCTTTGACCAGTACCTTGAACATACCCTACAACTCCCGCGTTCTTATACCTACTTGTTTGGTATCGGTTATATAGGGATTATATAGGGACCGTACTACCCAAAAAAGGTTAAAGGTTACCTACTCTACTACTAGGTGTAGAACCCTGGACCAGCCAACATCCACAAGAGACCAAAGATCTGTCCGCCCGAGCCTAGGTGTGAGCCCCACTCGGTTGTGGAGACCTCAGAATCGTCGGGAGCTGATTTCGTACGGAGTTCTTTTGAAGGCTTCTGAACCCTTTCTGAAGGTCTTATCTTGGCTTGACAATGATTTCGTTCATAGTGGTTTCAAAGGTCTTATGAAGGCTTCTGGGAATTGAGGGATACTGTACAGGGAATCTTTATACTGGGGAACTACCGCGGTCATGCGGTGTAAGTGTATCTGACTCCCAAAACCGGGCTTGCTTGCTTCCCTGAGATGGTGGTTTTAAGAACAAGTGGGCCAAGATGTTGTTTTGACTCTTAGAGTCGCTAGAGTGTTGTACAGGGTTAAGACTGCAAGCGATCTACTGCACTAGCATTGCGAGTAGTCTGATGTACTAAGGGTCCTGAACGTTGACCAACGAGGATCTGTGGATCATCCAAACGAACATATCTAACAATCGGACAATGGCACATGCTATGGGCGCTTGCAGCAACACCCAAAACTGCAAGAGCTCGAACTTAGAGCGAAAATTTTGGGAGCAACGCTGCTGTGACAGGGTCCATAGCCGTGCTAGTGTAAACGCATACCGTAGCAGCTTTGTGTCTCATCGACTGTCTAGTACGGTTACGGTGGGCTGCAGGTGTGGATCAGATTGCGACTGGGGTTTCAGGCTCAGGGGTGAGATTGACCGAGTCGGTCCAAACCCTGAAGTTGCCGATCCGTAAAGGTCAAAGCTGCATACCAGAATGCAAAGATCAATAGAAAACACGGTCACCAACCACTCTAGTCCGTAACTCAAGGTTCGAAGCCGTCTTTGCCAAAGCAGCAAAAAATGAAGCAAAATCCATTAAAACCGTGTGTGCCACTCGTGTGTGCCATCTTTCCGAAGCACATGCCAGACAGCCTTTGGCAACCTTCCCAGAAGACACCGTATCTTTGTATTTGTTGTTCTTTATCTCGCCCAATTCTGTTCGAAGTCGACCTTAACTGACACTTGGGGTTGACAATTCTTACTAGTAGGCTCCAGGCACCAAAACTTCCTTGTTTACTAATTTAAGGGTTTCGTTATGGCAATTGTGGAACATTCCTACGAATACAACCCTCGAGTGCACAAGATGGATGGATGCATGGATGGATGGGCTAGGCCCTGACTCGGCATGCAGGGCGCGATGAGAGAACGTGCATGTCCACCCGTCGTTTGAAGGAGCCGCAAAAGCTAGCAGCAGGCGCCCGACAACTGACCACCCCAGAGTGCAACTGCGAGTACAAGTGTACCGTGTAGTCCTGAGATATGAAACTACAAGCTCCCGAAATATGAAATTACAAGCAAGGACCCAGTTTGACTGGCCGATATAACCGGTTGTGAGGATGTGCCGACAGTGAAATGGACTATGTACTTGCCAACTGGCATGCGCCCGAATTTACGGCCGCCCTTTGTTCGCCTCTGATAGTATCCGCTTATCGCAGAGAACGCGCGGCCACGGAAGTGACTGCGAGAAACCTGTACACGTGCCCTCTGCCACACGCAAGATGAATGCCGAGAACCGGCAGCCATTCTACAATTCAGTGCTTCCCAATTTCCGAACCTTCGGGAACTGACAGTTTGTCTCGGATGGCACTCTGAAGTTTCAATTCTTGGGCTTATGACTGTACAGGCTGAGGTTGGCAAACCGGAGCCCCGCGTTGCAAACAATTGGCGGTCAATGCTCTCAGGCAGCGCGTCACGCTTGCTGCACAGTCTACGCAACAACATTGAAGGTTTCGTCCTTCTTCGCTCATGCACACGACACGCACACGAAGTAGCGCGCGCACACACACACACACACACACCAACACAAGCATACAAGCACCGCTCGTAACCCGACAACAGCCTATTCAAGCTTGCAGGTGTCAAACTGACACGTTGGGCACATCACGCCCGCAGACAGCGACAACATGAGACTTGTGGCACGCATCTCCGATGCGAACTTGAAAAAGATTGCATGGGATTGACACGCCGTTTTTGCGTAATGTGATGGCAATAGTGTTGTGGTTGTGGTTGTGGGTGTCGTTGTTGTTGTTGAGTGTTGTTGTTGTTGCTGCTGCTATTGCTGCTGCTGCTCGTGGTGTTGTTGTTGTTGCTGCTGCTACTACTGCTGCAGACTGCTGCTGCAGCCGTTGTTGTTGCTATTGTTACTGCCGCTGTTGTTGGTGTTGCTGCTGTTGTTGTCGTTGCTAATGCTGTTATTGGTGGTGGTGGTGGTGGTGGTGGTGGTGGTGGTGGTGGTGGTGGTGGTGGTGGTGGTGGTGGTGGTGGTGGTGGTGGTGGTGGTGGTGGTGGTGGTGGCGGCGATGTTGATGTTGTTGGGGTTATTGCTGTTGAAAGTACTGCTACTGCAGCAGCAGCTACAGCAGGAGGAGGAAGAGGAGCCGGAGGAGGAGCAGGAGGAGGACCAAGTAGTACTAGCAAAGCAGTCGTCGTCGCCGCCGTCGTCGTCGTCAACATCGTCGGCAACGTCGTCGTGGTTCTAGCAGCCACAGGTAGTTGTGGCAGCTGCAACAGCAGCAGCGGCAGCAGCAGTGTTAGTAGCCATGCGCGCGTCTCGGCGCCTGGTGTTAACCTCTGCTTGTGCGCCGGGCATCTTCGTTTCACACATTCAGCTGGCCGCTGTTGCTCTTCAGCACTCAGGGTTGCAACTTCAGCCGTGGATGCTTAGTGTGTTTTCCTGCGGCTGGTGTCGCCACCTCGACGGCTCTCCCGGAACAAAGGCATGCTTGGAAAGTTCGCGCATGTTATTCTACCGAGCCATGCTACCAGCCCACCCATTGACCACTGCGTCCAGCCCCGACCTCCCTGCTACCAGTGCATCCATGCAATAGTCATGATAACATCCACGCTGCCAACCCATTCATTGACCACCGCATCCATGCCGCAACAATGACCATGTCCATGCTACCAGCGCATCCATGCTCCAAAAATGATAACTTCCACAGTCGCTGGACACCGAACCCCAGCCCGACATCTTAGATCTTGAGCCCCGGTACGTCAGATTTGACAGTGGAACCCTAAATCCAACAGAAGTCCAGGACGAAAAGATGCCAGGATCCCCGGCTGACTTGAGTCCGAGAAGGCGGGGACACCGACCTCAAAGGAGCGATGCACGGGTTAAGTTTACTTTCTCAACAGCGTTGTCTACTGCAGTAGAAGCCAGAAAGCTGGACATCCAGAAACTTCAGACTTCGTTGCAATTACTCCACTTACTTCCCGAAACTACCAGCACGGCAACGACTACGAACAGAACAACCCTAAACCCTAAACCACCACGACCAACAGGACGGTCAGGACGACCGCAGGGCTGTGCCTTGCGTTGTGGACCCCCCCCGTGCTATCATCATAGCCGTACCAGCTACCCAACCCCCCCCCCCCAAAAAAAAAAAAGACAAAATTATAGCCCAATACCTATAAAACAAACTATTATTCCACGTACTTTGGGGATCCAAGTAGTAACCTTAAGACTACTGCGGTGTTTAACATCTACAAGTCGTCCAAGCACCGACGTTAGGCTGTTTGGGCTGTTTGAAAACAGCTGTGTGCTTGAACTCGCAGCAATTCCACCATCTCGAGCTTCTTTCAGCAATGGATTGTGTCACGCGGAAATCCAGAAGGTGGAGCATACCACAGGGTGCAATTGGCTATCGGAATCGGGACAACCAGCCCCCACACGCAGCGGCGACGAACACCATTGCCCGAACTCTCAATGCTATACGGGTAAACCCTGCAAAACCGTAGGTTGTAACGTGATACTTACAGGGCAGGGCACAAGGCCTGAAATGGTAGGGTTTTGGACCCACTGGCAAAATTCCCATTCGAGTTCTACCAAGATGTCGGGACTGTTGGTGTCTAGGGCTTTGGGCCTAGATGTCTAAGCCTCAAACTTTAAGTGTTTAGGGCCTACAAATCTTAGTGTTCGACGCTTGACACAGCTGTGCGGGAAAATGGGGCAAGAAAACCTTGGCAGTCTCGAATCTGCTATCGATTTGCAGGGCAGCTTTCAACTGCAGAAATGGGGTCCAGGGTTCAGGGTTGTTACGGACCAATACTTACCTTTGGTTCGTAGGGAATGGAAGATGGTGGTAATAGTACAGTAGTCATAATTGTACCCCATACAGTAGTTATAATTGTACCCCATTCCTCCATTCCCTACTAACCAAAGGTAAGAATACCGTAAGCCTCTCGACTGTAAGCCTCCAGACCCTAAACATCCAGCCCGAAGCCCTAAGCCCTCGTACAGGGGCCTCATCCATGATTCGACTAGGGTGTATAGGGGTATATCTTAGAAGCTGCCCCCACCCTGTAATAGTGACTATAACGATTATATTAGGGCCCTATTATAATCATATTAAACCACTATTACAGGGTGGGGGCCCCCTTTTAGGGCATTTAATAAGCCCCATAGATAAAGCCCGTCCGAAGCCTCTCGAAGGGCATGTTGCCTCTGGGTTGCCTGTCGCCATAAGCACGGGTTGAGAATTTAGGGGTTTAGGGCTTAAGGTTTAGGGTTTAGGGGTTTAGGGTTGAGGGTTTAGGTTTTCGGGCTTTGGGGTCTAAGGTATAGGTGTTTAGGGTTTCAGGTTCAGGGTTTAGGGTTTTGTAGCCAAACGCCGGGGTTCTTCTAGGCGTCAGAGCCCTGAGCTCGGGGTGCTCCGGGGCTTTGCGGTCGAAGGGTTGATGGCTTACCTGGAGCAAAAAAGACCTACCTTTTTAGGCCTCCCTATTATGGCTCCTATCTATAGTTCCTTAATAAGGTAGGTCTTTTAGGTAGGGTTGACATTTCACAAGATGGGCGTTTGAGTATTTGAGCGCAATAATACTACTTCCAGTAGTCTGGGAGGATCGGCGACCGTACTGTAGACCCCAAGCATAGAGCTGCCAGGGAAGTAACCCACCATTTTCGAGCCCGAACATGCCCTGCCCCTAGGCCCTAAGCCCGAAAACCCCGAATGCCAAATCCTAAACTCCAGATAACACCCATCACTCATATAGGCCTATGGTAGGCTCTTCTATGGTCTTGGCGTTCTTTCTTTTATGCCCGAAAAGCCCTACCCGCGGATCCAAACCACTTCGTGCCTCACGGATACTCCTTAGACTATTACCTTAGGGTTTAGGGTTTAGGGGTTTAGGGTTTAGGGTATACCGTAATTCTGCTTATCATCAGCTCGACCTCCGAGCACTGGCGAGACCGGTGGCTCGTTCTTCCGTGCGACCTCACAGCTTCCGAGCCGCTTGAAGGATGACCCTAAGGGTCCAAGTACCCAAGTAGTAGGGTTTCAAGGTCCAAAAACCATTCAGAGTATGAGTTTTGGGCCCCAAAACCCTACTATTTGGGTACTTGGACCCTCTAGGTGAGGGGACTTGGTAGGGTTCGGGGTGTTTAGGGTTCCTGGGCTAGCTACGCAGTGGTGAACACCTCTCCTCGCTGATGAAACTCTGCCTGTTCAATGTCTTAGACAGGTTCTATCAAATTTGGAAGAGTTTATTTCGGGCTTATGAACTAGGCCCATCCAAGCGGGCCTTTAGACTAAGTTGCACAGCGGCTTCTACGCCTGAGGGTTCCTCACCTTACAGGGGTTGCTGCAAGTACACGTAGTACAAGTGCAATCCTGGTAGTCGGGACCAGTGGAAACCTTTCAGGCCGACGAAGCTGGGTTTAGGGTTTGGGCGTGAGGGTTTGGTGATGATACAGATGGCGACGATGATGACAATGACGGTGACAACGGCGACTAGGGCGATTGCGGACTAAGGTCGAGACTGCAGGACAACTATATGGGTGGCATGTACAATGGACCGGTATACCTCCCCCATAATCGGTGTTGAGGTCTTGTTCTTGTCCTCGTATGGGAAGTTCGGACAATGAAGACCCGGATGCAAGCCGGTCCAGGTGCCTGAGTAGCCCCTAGCAATAAGGGCACGTACCCTTGTTCGTGATGCTTGGTCCTTAAAGGCGAACCCAGAAAGACAAAGTGCAAAAGGGTACTACTGTGGAACCTAGTCTTTAACCATCGGATGCCCGTCTAAGCAAAGCTAAGCGGCACACCCCGAGTCTCAAGAACACCCCATATTCCTTAGAAGGGGCCCCCACCCTGTAATAGTGACTATAAGGATTATGAAGGATTATATTAGGGCCCTAGTATATTCCTATTATACCACTATTACAGGGTGGGGGCAGCTTCTAACATATTCCCCTCCTGGGGCGCCCGAAACCTGAAACCCCAAAACCAAAGCCCTGGCAAACTGAAGCCCTTGAAGCCTGAAACTCCCTAAGCCCTAAACTTAACACCAAACCTGGATACTGCATAGTTTATTTTTGAGCTCCTTTTTCCGCCTAAGGTCTAGGGTTTAGGGCTCAGGGTATAGGGATTAGGGTATTGCGTTTAGGGTATAGGGTTTAGGGTATAGGAACCCTAGGGTTTATAAGGGCCCAGAAGCCTGAGACTCACTAAAGGCAGGACCTCTGGGGCTGCTCTGCTCCAACATTTTCCGTCGGTGCGCCTGCCCGTGACGGACTAGGCGATTACAAGGGCCTTGGGGGGTTTAGGGGTTTAGGGTTTTTTTTTTGAGCTCCTTTTCTACACAGCACAGGGGTTTAGGGTTTAGGGTTTAGGGGTTTAGGGTATTTGTAGGATGTCCGCTGTGGATTGAAATCTCTTGTAGGAAGTCGTGGAGCTCATGATTAAGTCTCAAAAGCTTGGTGCACAAGAGTTCGTGGCGGTATGGGACTTCGGGCAAGCGATCTAACTGGGCTGAAAAGCGTTAGTGGTTGTGGTCTGCAAGATCCAGGATCAGGGCCTATAGGGCTTGGGCCCTGCAGGGGATAAGGATCCAATTTGAGGGCTTGGTGATAAGGTACTGTTGGGATTGCGTGCTCTAAATGTCGAAACTTTGAACATCGGGGCGCAAACCCAGAAAAAGCCGACGCAAAATCGAATGGGCACCATACTAGCCTTCGACACCTAGTCACGCACCAATGCCCGAGCCTAAGCCCCAAACCCTGAGCGTGAAGCCGCTCAGTTGGGATTAAGGGCTGCAGCTTCCCAAGAGCTCGAAGGTATGGTATGCAGGGGGGATCTAGGGGGTTTCGGGGCAGTTTTGACAGGGCTAGCCCTTTAACCCCGAAACCCTAAACCATCAAACCCTACACCCACGGGCTCAGGGGTTTAGAAGCTTCGGCATGAGGATTTGCCTCGATGCTCTGGGGAAGACTAATAGCTTCTGGGGTTGACTGGTAGCAACGCAAAACAATGCAGCTACCAGCGCCTACAAATGAAGTTCTCAGCTATGTTTTAAATAGTGTCCACAAGAAAGGTTATGACAGTCAGGGGTGAACGGAGCCTCAACAGCTACAATAGGTTTGGGGGCTTGTGGAAACTAGGTTCCTGAGATAAGAACGGCAAAACAAAAAGGGCAAAAAGGGTAATTACCATTGGAAACCGTAACTATCTTGGCTTCTGCATGACTAGTTCATTGGGTTCGAGTACCCATCAAAATGTGAAATGTTACCCAGCTATGACAAAGATGAAAGGGACAGCCCCACGGAGCTGCCTTCAACCCGAAGCAGCTCCCTAAAACCCCATAAGCCGAAAAATCCAACAAAACCTTACAATAAACCCTCAAAAGTCTGAAGCCCAAAACCCCTATACAGCTCCAAACCCTGCAACATTAGCGCCACTACAGCTTCAAACTCTAAAGCCCTCCAACCCGCACGATCAAAAGTCTATGAAGCCCCAAAACACCCCTGAAGCTCAATCTGAGATTTTAATCCATGGGCCGAAACCCCTGAACCACATGACCCTTAGACAGCCTCATACACCCCGGTAAGGGGTTCGGTGGCGTTCCTTTAAGGATCTTTTTAGGGGTTGCTTTCAGTGATTCTTTGGGGCTCTGAAGGACTTCTTATCTTTATGGATTGCGTTAAGTGGTTCGTTAGGGTTCAATTAAGGGCCCCATTAACGCAAGAAAAGGGACGACACCCTATCTCAACATGAACCCATCGGACGGTAGCAGCTTCCCGACGGGTACCTCCGAGGCCAGCAGTGAAGATGTGCTGGCTTGGAGCCTCCACAGCTCCACCTTCCGACATCCTTAAACTACCGAAACCCGAATGCTACAGAGCCCCTCCTACAAACCGGCCTTGATTGTGAAAATCCGGCTTTGGGGCATATATCATAGAAGCACTATATGACTATATGACTATATGAGGACAACAAAAAAGGAATTCTATCGGGTGTTCAGGTCGCAGCCACTAAGAGTGCCCAATCTGCAGAAATTTCCAGCGTCACGAAATAATTGGAGACTGGACGTTATCGTGGTTGTCATTATGTAGTAGAGTCAATAGAAGCGGCATAAAAAGAAACGGCGTTACCACAAATGAAGGCTCCGCTACTACACACTTGGCTTTCGACTTAGACTGTTGGCTTCAAGCTTCAGGGTTGAATTTATCAGTTTCAAGGGTGTCGGGTTCCGGTGTTGCAATTTGGGAGTTTCCGAAAATAGGGGACCTTAGGATAGTACCCGGAATAGTAGGCTCCTTATTATAAAGACCCAAAAATAAGGTACCCCTAATTTGCGGAAACTCCCATTTGCAGGTGTGTTTAGGGTACCTTTTTTCTGCGGCTGTGCTCCAGTCTGCGAACCTGCTTCGCCTGGGTCGGGACTTTGCAGATGCCGCACCCGAGCCGAAACCGGGCTGTTGCCGACCGGTGGTGTAGTTGACGGTGCGACTCTCTTGTGTAGCCTCAGTTGAAGGGTCTTGTAGTTCAGGGCTTTGGAGTTTTCAGGACAATCGGACAGTCATTTGTCTTCGACCACAAACGTAGTCGGGAGTAGTCGGATGATACTGAGAGGCGACCGTACACGACGAGAATAGGGGGTTATGTACATGATGAAAGAGAATGAGACTATACTGAACTTAGAACCCTAGCAACAATTGTAATTTATAGCTGTTTCTTAGGGGGTATAATCACCAAAATTAAAAATAATTTTCTAAGTACGCCTAAGGAGGGACATCCACAACTGTGCACGGAGTTTGGTACACTCGGCGAAGAGTGAGGGTCTAGGGTAGTCCACGGTGTTGAGGTTTGCGGTTGACAATGTATAACTGGGTTGTAGTTTTGGGGCTCTGAAAAGTATTTACGAATAGGTACCTCTATAGGAACCATAAGGGGAGTTAAAAAGTTTCCCACATTGCCACCGAGATAAACACGTTCACAACGTTTCAAATCCCGAAATTCCCCGCACACCCTAAGTTACTACTAAACCGCGAACAGCCGTGGGCCCTAATCTCTACAGACTTTGAGCCACAAGCCTGATCCCGGTCCTCAAACCCGTAGGCCAACAGGCTCCCCCAACGCATCTTGGATAGCTGTACCTCCCTAAGGCTCCATGTGCCCATATAGTATATACTTAGGCCTTAGGCCTCAAAGGGGTACCTATATAGGTACTTAAAGGCATAAGTATGTACTATACGGACACATGGAGCCTTAGGGCCTACTTTCGGCCATGCTTTGAGGTCTACATCGGCTGCAGAGGGGATTTCACCCCAAGCCCCCGTCCCCACACAGCCCCTGCCACTCTTCAAACAGCCCAAACCCAAAAGCCCCGAAACCGCAGAAACTTCAACCCGAACGTCCTCCACACCAATTACTAACCTCGAAGCCACTGAACTGAATCCTTGAAAACCACCTGGACCTAGACGAACACCACGACAAGCATTTCAATTACAACCCACATCCCCAGACCTTCCATCTACCCGCTAAACACCTACGATTAGGGACCTCCAAAGCTACTTGGAGGTACAGCGATGGTCCTGGTATGCCTCCGTGCTCTACTACGGCGTCGTAATGAAAAAAAGGACCAGAATAAGGTCACATTAAGGGCTGGTATGAAGGGTTCCCATCGTAACCCTTATACGAACCCTTTTGGGGTTCCCATAAGGGAACCCTCAAAGCAAAAGGTTTCCTTTATTGAAGGAGCCCTTAAGGGTTCCTTTGAGGTTTCCTCCTACCCTTAGGCGGGTAGGGGGGAGGGGGTAGGGCGGGGCCTGAATACCCACAACAAGGCCTATTTAAGGAAGTACCTCCCCTCCACTCCTCTAAGGGTCCCTATGATACCAAAGTCTCGAATCGAAGAGCATTTGGCGCTGGCCGCGTTGTCGTCGGGCGGGCGGGCACGGAGAGGGCCCCGAAGTTGTAGACTCGGCGCATCGTCTCCTTGAGGCAGGGTTTAGGGGCTTAATGCTTCGGCCAAATTTGCGTAGACCTTGGGGATTCCAAGTGCTTCTTCAGGGCTTCTGATCGGTTCTTCGGCTTTACAGGGCTCAACAACTCAGCCTTTGAGGGCTCAGGCCGGGGATTGTTGAACATCGGAGTTTGAAACTTGAGGTTGCTGCTTGTCTCAAGCCGTTTCGACCTAAACCCCACCCCCTGAACCCCTAACCCCTAAACCAATCACAACCCAGGCCACGGCTCGCTATCAACGCAATGCCCTGTTCGATGGCTCTGCTCTGAACCCAAAGGCCATGGTAGTTTATTTTTGGGATGACCTTATGGGATTCTAAATATGAACCCCCAACAGGAACTACTACGGAGCCTATGAGCATGCACGTTTGGACAGCATCTTGCCCGGACGGCTGGCCGACAGACTGTCGTGCGAGATGCAATGTCTGATCTGACGATGAGCTTTGAAAAAGCGCAGGCAGCTCCCGAAACAACAAACTACCCAACATGAACTCAGAACCCCTTAGCCACAAGCCCTCAAGTTCCGTGAACCCTTATGAAACCCGAAACCAAACATGAACCCTGACAGAACCCCTACAGGAACCCCTTATGCATCCCTAAACCCCCACAAACCGCACCTCTCCTCGCCTCTCTTCGCCCCCCAAATCCAGTCTATACCATAATATGAGTACTAAAAGATAATATAACATAGTATGATATACTATAATGTAATATACTATACAAAATCATGCATAATATTATGGTATGAAGTTTAGGGCTGAGTCGCTGTGCCGATCAACTCCCAGGCTTCTTGGACGGCGCGGAAGCGCTCCGCGTCGCCGCCAGCCTCAGGTTTTGGGCATTCACCAAGGGCCTATAATATAGGGGCCTTAATAATTAGAATAGGGTTTTGGGGCCCATTATACTATAATCATAATAAGGAACCCCCACCATAATATTGGTAATTATTTAGGCCCCTATATTACGTTCACGAGGGGTTTGGGGCTATACGGACGTGTTTTTACTGGGTGTATATAGGCTGTAGCCACAAGGGTTTAGGGTTTACAAAATGGGAGTTTCCGAAAATAGGGGGCCCTAATATATCACCCTAAATAGTAGGATCCTTGTTATAAGGAACCCTAAATAAGGTACCCCCAATATTCGGAAACTCCCAAATAGGAACTTGCGGATGGCAAGGCTTTAGGGCTCGAAGGGTTTAGAGTTTAGGGGGCATCGGTGTAATTATACTAATTGCAGGGGTTCAGAGTGCTGAGTTTACCCGTAATCGAGGAATAGTCCCGAACATCAGAAAAAACCTGAGATCTAACATGGGCATCCCCAGAAATGTGGAACGGAAATCCTCGCACTTGCTGTAAGGACCCTGCATGGGGCACTGTAACCTTGAGCAACTTACCATACTGCCTTGTGAAAGCACCCATGAAAACGCTATGAAACCTTCTACACAGTCCTATACAGGACCCGAAGGCTAAACCTAAGCCCAAGAGCCCAAACCTCAAAACGCCCCAGACCCAAAGCCTTGTCCGGATGGAAGAGCAGCAATGCCTGCCATGTTAACCGGTAAAGCAACAAACCGTAATGGTCAAAAGTCAGACCTGTGAGCCCCTAGGGTATCTACAGTCTCGATTGTAGTTCCTTTTTTGCTTGCCCAACTTTATGGCTAAGATCCTAGAATACCAATTTGGTTAGCCGAAACAAGGAACCACGATGGAGACTTTAGGTAAGGTTTATGGCTCAGGCTCTCGGGTGTTTAGGAATTAGGGTTGAGGCTTCAGTCAGGCTGTCGAGTTTACGTTGTTGTCAATGAAGTCAGTTAGGGTCCTTCTGATACAGAACAATACTAACCCACGCGCTGCTCCACTTACACCCTATAAAGCCTCACACCCAAGCTCTGCATAATCCTCATATTTCGGGTCTAGAGTGGGGGGCGGTTCAGTTCAGGGTTTCGTGTTCATTCGGAAGCACCGTGTCTGCTGCTACGGAATCCGCCCAAACCGAGCCGCAATATAGGACCTACCCAATCCCCGTAAGCTTCAGTAGCAATTTTTTTGATACCCAAAGCCAGTGTAGTGTAGGAAACTTCACAAACCCATCGGCTTATCGGGCCCTCTGAACCGCTGTAGAAAGCCGCAAGACTGTAACTCCCAGCAATTAACATGACGATACAAAGAACCTCGACGCAGAGATAATCCTAACAGTGATGATACATAGTCGAACACCCACATTAGGTTCCTAGTCAGCCCCTTTAGAATAGGGTTAACCTTTTTCTGGTAGGTTTTGGTGAGGGCTCCCAAAATCAAAAAAAGTCAAAATCATGTCGCCTTGCGGTAGGCGGCTTTGACCTCCGCGCTGGAGGCATCCGCCGGGATACCCAGGGCTCGATAGTGGTTCCTCCTTGTTCTTTGTTTAGGAGCCCTCTCCAGGTATTCGTACACTAAAGGGTTCAGAATTTGGGGGTTTGGGGGTTGTTAGGGGCCCGACATTTCCAGGTGTTGTCTAAGCGCGGCTGTCTGTTTCTGGATTTTTCGTGGTTGATTTATGTCACATTGGTGGTTCGGACCATGGGAGTGTGTTTGGGGCGTAGGCTTAATGGTTACGGATTTCGGGTTTAGCTAGGCTTGAAAAGCTTGATCTAGACCCAGGAGTAACCTAGGAAGAAAAAGGGTACCCTTTTTGGTTTAGAGGGGCTTATCAGGGAACCTCAACCTTAAGAAAGGGAATAAGAGCCTACTCTAGGTCCCAGTGATTCAGTTTAGGCTTTCAGACCTGGGGCTTACGGCCCACACCCCATCTGCAGAGACACGCCATCGCAAGTGGCTTGCAGGCTGAGTCTGAGACGAATAGACTCTCGGCTCCGAACCCAAAAAGCTAACATAGGCGGCCTTAATACTTAGAATAGGGTCTTGGGGTATAAGGAAGCCCCAGAATAGAGTTGATAATCATTTCGACCCGTATATTACACCCCACAGTGTTTGGATTGGAAGTCTAAGCTCAATGCATTGCAGCTGAGTCAATGTTGTCTACTCCTAACAGCAACCCAGTTTCGACTCCTCAACACTTCCGCGGCCTTGCCACCCCTTGAGGGGGCCAGGTATAGGGGGGAAGTTAGATCTTGCGAAATCGGTCCTGTATCTAACTTTCCAGGGCTCAACGGTTAAGGGCTTGGAGTTCAGGGCAGGGTTGAGGAACATGACCTAAACTATCATAGCAGAGATGCGCAGTAAGTCGTGTGCTTTCCTCGCTGTGCTAAGCTGCTAATCCCAAGAGCAGCCCGGACAAATCCCAACGACTAAGTCGTTGTCCTTGCGGGCTGGACCGCCCAATGGCGCGCCATGCGGAACCAACGGGCGAAGTCCTCTCAGCGGATCGGGCAGGGGTACTCAGCCCCCGGTACACCCTGACCCATTTAGATGGGGCTGCACTTTAGTTCAGGGTTTAGGGTTTAAGGGAGGGTTTGGGTGTATGTGGTGGTATGGTCCTATCGGGAAAATGATGGGGAAAGATGTAGAGGGCCTTTCGGACGTTCTGCACCGAAATTGCGGTCCTCCCTACAACAGTCCCAACAAGCAAAGACAGCTGATGTAGGGGCCTTAGCTATTTTGCAATTTGGGGCATGATAGTCTATAACTAGTCTAAGGAATAATGTTGGTAATTATTCAGGCTTCTATATTACCGCTTATCAACATCCAGTATCTTCGGCCTCCCCCAGGGGCTCACCGCTGCTCTCGGCGAGGAGGCGGATCTGCTTCAGGTCTTCCAGCGCCTGCTGGTCCTCGCCCGTTTGATGCAAGCTTTAGGGCTCATAAAAGGTTTAGGGCCCTTTGGGGTGCGTGGGGGTCAGGATAGGGGACGTAATTCTAAGTAGGTACCGCAAGCCTCAACCCTGGACCCCTAAACCCCGTAGTTCTACACCTTGAACCCTGGCTTTGGCTTGCGCGGGCTTCGAGTTTGTAGGTCAAGATTTTGGCTTCGAGATTACATGCAGAGCGATCTAAGGAAAGGATGGAGGGTAGTTCAAGGGCCTGTGCTAGGCCCCCCAAACCTTAAAATCCCCAACTTCCGATATTCTGAGCTGAAGCATGGAGCGTATTTTACCACCCGATGAAGAGTGAAACCAGAAAACCTCAATGCCACTGGTAACAAAACCACGGACCAGCGGAAGTGGTCCTGGCCGCCTGACTCCAAACGTGCCTCAGCATAGAGGCTACCAAACTGGAACTCATTTGTTTCTTGATGTTTCCTGATATTTAGCATAATTACTTAGACGCTTCCGAAGATTCCAACTCTTGGGGCATATAACTTACGTTACCCAGAGGCTCCATGTAGACTACCATCATGGAATTAGGTCCTTAAAGCCATAGTAAAGATAGTCTCTTGGGGCCTAACGCCTAATCCCACGAGGGCAGTATACATGGAGCCTCCGGATCAGGTGTTATTGGTTCTAAGGGTTTGCGGATTTCGAATCCAAGGGATCTGAGGGGCTCTATTGTGGAGGGGCATGGAGCATGCTGCCGTATAGAGATTAGGAATTAGGCTTTAGGGGATTAGGGGTTTATAGGGTTTAGGGATCATGTCGTGTAGAAAATGACGTGATGGGGTTTACTGATTTTGACAGTAGCTCACCTGGTCATACCTGCAACAGCCATAACTTAACAGCAATTTCTAGATTTGAAATAGCCTTCTTCCCATCAGGTGGGTACTGACAGCCACACTGGAGTTTAAGGACAAGCCAGGGTTCAGGGTGTGAATGCCCAAGGGCCTGCTGTTGCACTCACTGCAGACTCATCAAAACAAGATCTGAAATATAAAGCCTCCTCAGGGTATAGGTTCCCCAGTGCGTGACAACCCAGAAGTCAGAAATACGAGTAACCTTAAGTAAACTCTGAACTGCCCTGAACCCTAAGGCCTGAAGCCCCAAACCATGTACAGATTGATGCTGGCTTTGGCGCCACGGCCAGGCGCAGCCGTGCTTCGGCAGTTGGTGTCAAGGCCGCCAATAACGCAGCAGCATCCAAGGCCTATGGGAATAGAGGAGTTCCACAAAACCTAGACCTCAGTTTCGGGTCTGGGGTATCTTTTTGTCCGGGCTCTATGGTTCAAAGCACCAGTAGGTGCCCTATAGTTTCTATCATGTTCAGAAACCGACGTGATGCTTCAGATGAGGAGGCTGCTGCATGTGTTAAGGGTGTATAGGGTCCGATTCGAGTTTAGGGTTTCAATCGGGTGGGGCTTATTGAGGAGGTTTCTTGCTTTCTGAAAGCCGAGTAGTGTTGGAGCTTCAGGGGTTTCGGTTTCGATCTTGACAATATGCTCCACAACATACAAATGCTAAGCCCAGCGAGCCGTCAAAGTCCAACATCACCCAAAACCCTGAAAAACAAAATCCTAAAACCCAGAACCTTAAACCAACATCCAAAGCAGGGTTCTGAGCTGCCGTGCTGACCCTCTGACAGTTACCCCCTAGTCCCTCCAGCATTCACCATGAACGATGCCGCGGAACCCGCAGCCGAACACCAGGATGAAGCAGTTTCCGAAACCCCTAAAAGTAGGTAGAATAGTGGCCCAATACCTTTGAAAGGCTATTATTCCAGATACTTTCTGGGTCCCGTTTTGAACTTCATAAATCTCTGTAAAAACAGCAGGAGCGCCCCTTAAACCCTAAACGCTAACCCCAACTCCCAAACTTTTTCACCCGAAGCTCTAATCCGATAAATCCTGAAACAGATCTTAAAGCATGAACTCTATCAGACCATGGACCTTGTAGGCCTTAACAGCGAAACACTAAACTCTATCCACAAATGCTGAACCCTCTACCCAAACCTTCAACCCTCAACTCCAAACCCCCCAACCCCAAGCCCTAAATGCTGTAATAAAACCCTTAAACCCCAAACCCGACACCACCAGGACCTAAGCCCTCAGCCCCAAACCCTCTCCGCCTTGTCAAAGTCGCCGGCGCTCCGCGCGGTGTCGCGGCGGAGGCGCAGCTCCTCGATCTGCTGGCTCAGAGGGCGCTCCTGCTAAGGCGACAGACTGAGGCAAACTGCGAGGCTTACCTCTAGTCTCCATTGTAGTTCCTTTTTGGGGTTACCTTTTAGGATCCCTAATATAAAATTGGTTAAACCAAAAAAAGGAACTACAATGGAGACTATAGGTAGAGCCTAGTATCCAGGGTTTCGAGTTGGGGTCTGTTCTTGTTGGTTGAGGGGTGGACAGGGGGTTTGCAGTAACCAACAAAGTAGGTCATGGTAATCCCACCGTTCTGGAAAGCCTTCATTCCTCGAGCTCGGGGCCGAATATGTTGCGACGTTGTTGGCGCAATGTGGGCCCGGATTCTGAATAACAACTACGATCATATATTATCCTATTGACTACTAGCAAAAACCATAACCATGATAATAACTATGACAATAGTTACGAAGGTGTTGCGGAGATCTTGTACACTAGGCTCGTTGAGTAAGTCCTGCTTGCTCAATCTGAGGTGGACTGCTGCTGCATGGTTTTGCATCCAAGACTGCCAGCACAACTATCCAAAGTCAGAGCTGTCTGACAGTTCGATTGCATTGCGAACCTTGGAGGCCTCAAAAAGTGGGATGAAGGTAGGTAGGATTAAGGATCCCTTATATGAGGACTCTTATTTGGGAATATCCCACCTACCTTCATCCCACCTTCTGAGGCCTCCGAGAACCCTGGCTCCTCTGCAATTTCAGGCGCCAGCGATCGCACGGGATCATCTTCCTCGCGTGTTTCTGGGAGAAGATGTTTTGACTGTAGGCCTGAGGCTCAGATGAAGCGACATGGGTCTATGCACACCTTATTGCAACAGTTAGAATAGGGTCTCGGGGGTAAAAGACCATGATGAAATTCCTATAGACCTGCCATGGAGGTAGGTTCACGAATTTAAGGGCAACTCAGGCCCTGGCGCTTAAAAACGAAAGACCACCCCCAACTTTGCTTTGTTGTCCCTGTCAGTCAAGGACCACAACTCAGAAAGACTCGATCAAGAGTACTTTGGTAGGCCTAGGCGCCAACAAGCAAACACCAAAACCCCAAACCCTTTTTCCCTAAATGCTAAAGCCCTAAACCCTCACGCCCTCAACCGTCCATACCCAATCGCGGAAATCCTACATCGGAGAGTAACATATGCTAACAACCTGTATGAAGCCGATTAAATGCCATGTCGGAGCCGTGAAGGAATCCGGAAAGCACGTGTAAGGCACAGAAACCACGAAAAGCCTGCCTCAACCTTCAACGGGAACCCTTTAAAGCAACCTTTCAAGCACCCTTTAAAGGGGGACCCTATTATCATTACAGTGGTAACCGTTAAGTGCCCAATAGATCGCTGAAAAGGAGGGCCCTCTATCTTACCTTTGTTCAATAAGGAATGGAGGAATGGGGTAGAATTATAACTACTATTACTACCATTCTTCCATTCCCTACTAACGAAAGGTAAGACAGATAGACTTGTCCGTCCGCAGCTCACCCTAAACCCTAAACCCTATTATAGTAGCCCTTCAAGTGCCCCTTTGATCCCTGAAAGGAGGGCCCTATTTTCGGAAACTCCCATAAACCCTATTCGGGGTACCTTATTTTGGGGTGCTTATGATAGTAAGATCCTACTACTGAGGGTACTATACTAGGCCCCTTTTTTCGGAGCCCTGCCTCCTTTGCGGGCTCTGGCTCTTTCTCGGGGGGCGAAGGAGGAGGGCTGCTCTTGGGCCGGCTGCGCCAGTTGCCTTTTAAGGGATCCCAAGGTTTTTGTTGTTTTTTGAGGGCCTCTTTTTCTAAGGGTTCAGGGTTTGCCTTTCAGGGATCCTAAGGTTCTTTGTTTTTGGGGGCTCCTTTTTGGGCTCCGAAGGGTTTAGGGCAGAGGCTTCAGGGCTTTTTGTTTGTTTAAGGCCTCTTTTTGTTTGAGGGTTTAGGGTTTAGGGTATAGGGTTTAGGGCTATAAACCCTAATCCCAAAGGGTCCCTAAACTGGTTCCGTAAGACTTCCTACAAGGGTTTGCAAAGGGGCCCGATAATGAAAAGAAGGAACGTAGGGATTTTGGGCTTCTCTTTCCAGCTAAGAATCATCTTGTCACTCTACATGAAGGTCCAAGGGACCTACTGTAATTTAATAATCAGGTAATCAGGGTTTGAGTTTTGGGATAGTAGTTGTGTAGGTTTTGGTTTAATCATAGGTTTCCATTGCCATTCTGCTTGGGGTACCGTGCTTGTACCGTTCAGCGTTCTGCTTCGGATGTTGGTTATCAGTTCCATATTAGAAGGTGCTCGTGATCGTGCGGCCCTATGGCTTCAGGCTTTTGCCTTGCAGTTGGGAAAGATCAGGCAACATGAGATCTTCAGACCTAGCGGGTGATGTGTTCACATAATTTGGCGATTTACTTGACTTAGTCAAAGCAATGGTCGACCGTTCGGCACTGCCGGCTTCTTTCTGCGAACTGCTGGACGAGGCAGCACCACAGGTGTTCAGTGCTGAGTACATGGCCGAGGGCTCGCCGCTTCGCTATGTGGATTTTTTCGAGTGCTTCGCCGGTCGGGCAAGGCTATCGAATGCCGTTCAGGAAGTTCCTTTGGCACAATCAGAAGTGTTCTGGACATTGTCCTTGTGTTCATTAGAACTGGACAGCAAGTTGTCTCAGTATTGTTGGCTGTTGCACACACGAATCTCAGGCCGGGTTCATGGTGGCTGTGTATGACATCGCCCGAGACCCCATGCAGAATGTCTTAAGCCACAGGGGCAAGATCCTTTGTGTCCTGGCTTTGATGGGCTGTGTTGCCTTTGTGCAGTGTGAGTCGGGCAGCAGATTTTTCAGGCAGGTAACTCATTTCACATCTCGTGAGGCTTACGGCTTTTGGCAGCCGTCAAGCAGGGTGGTGTGCGATTTTCAGCGCCGAAGTGCAGCAGCTTTCTTAATTGCGCAGTCGGAAGCACGAAACTCACCTAAAGAAGATGTCTTTGTGGGGCAGCGGTTTCCTGCCAGAGGTTCGTAAAGCGAAAGGGTGTGTGCAGTTGCCAAGGGAGAGGCACCTCGATCCTTCGGGAAACTTGGCACTGCCAGCTGTTGCTGAAGGCAACGAGATTGCTGCAGCTCGGTTGCAATGCTGGGTGTTTGCACGAGTGTTTTGGAGTGTGGCAAATGCTTTCCTTCTTTGCTGTAAACTCCGCAGCCTAGGAGTTTGACATCCATTGCCAGCTCTTTTGCTTGCATGCAAGAATCTTCTGCATCTACGAGCAGCCCCTGGCATCTTACATGCCGCAGCTCAGGGCAATGCGGGACCTGCATGTAATGAGCAGTTGCAGACGCCAGTGAAGCGGATGCCTTTCATGCTTCTATGCATTGTCCATTGCAGGATGTTTTTCACCAGTGTGGTCACCTTCGCATAACCTTCAACATGGGTGCTTTCGGAGCTCCCACACCGCTGCTGGACTGCTATTTGATTGTTATTTGTTCCTGCTCGCATCCGCTGCGATTTCCTACTTTGTTGACCTGCCGAGGAAGCCGACACAGCTCATCGGGTCGGATGTTTTCCTTTTGACTTGCCTCCGATTCCTTGGAACTCATCCTGAGCTGGAGCGAGCGATGCTTCCCCGCAAATTCGGATTGTTCACCTGGAGTAGAGGTCTTGTGCATGCCTGTTTATTCGAAATGCTTCTGAGGTTTCTGTCCCGTGCCACAGAGAGGCTCTGCCATCGCACCCCTGGCGGTGGCTATCGGGGCAAACGTGGGTCTATGCCAGCCTCGCAGGCATATCCGCACACGTTCGGTCGTGCCGAGCCTCGATGGCTTTAGCTTCTGCGATTCCACAGGGTTTCTGAAGAATTACACTCTATATTGTGTTTCACCGAGGTGGCTTTGTTGCTCTCGCTCCGACACTCTGTTCCCGTGTTCCAACTTCGTGCTTCCTTGGGCGAACGATTGGACACCGTCTTGACGACCTTGGTGCACGAGGCCGGCCCGATGCAAGTAGAGGCTTGCATGGTTCATGCCATGATTCGGTCTGTTGCCCGATTGTCATTATTTTGTGTTTGCATCAAGGACAACGATCATCGGTTTGAAGGCAATGATGATTGTGTGGACCTCCTACCCGTGTTTCGCAGACGCAGACTGATGGTGCCAGACATCCCTGCTGCCTGCCTCAAGTCTGATTGTTGGGTTTGTATCGGTAGCATCAGTCTGGCTTAGGCCCTGTTGTAAAAGAAGTGGCCCAGCCTGAATTATTCTGATGCGCTTGTTCTTCTGTTTCAGAGGCTCGTTTGATTCGTTGCCCTTGCGGCCGGCTTGCTGCTGGCAACGATGCCTTGGCCCCACCGGTCGTGATCCATGACGGGGAGGTCTGGGAAGTGCTCTAGACGTGCCTGTGCTGCAATCGCAACACATTCCCTATCCTGTCTGCACACTAGCAGTTCAAACGATACATGGCTTCTGGCTTTGAACTTTGTGCACTTGCTTGCTCTGAGTCTATGTGATTCATGTATCACCTCGTTCTTTTGGTGGTACAAAATTCGGTTTCCATCTCTCTAGCTCTGGAACAACAACAAAGCTTTGCTTGTGGCTGCCGTTCCGGCGGCAAATTCAGTCTTTGCGAAAAATTGTGCACTGCTTCATTGCTTTGCCGAATGTTTGCCTGAGGCCGAGATATTCTCATTGGCTTCATTTTCTGGGGCAGTGCTTCGTTGCAGCATGGACGGCACTTCAGCTTTGGCTCCGGTGTCTTTGCTTTACCGATGTGTTGATACAAAGCACCCCTCAGCTGCTGAGGCAAGGCTCTTTGCCACGGCTGAAGCTGCTCATCGTGGTTGCGTTTGTGCGGAGATGCTCAATTGGTAATTAAACCAGATGGTGGCCGAGCGACTAGTCTTAGTTATCATCAAATTTGTGCATGAAAGGCACAAGCCTCTTGGACTAACCCGGATGATGATCAAAAGGTCACAGTTCCATGCCTCCTCGGCCTTTCTGTCACTGCTCTCCAGACTGTCTGGTTGTCTTCATCCATTGATCGATGTCCTGATTTCGGAATATGTGCTAGTACTTAACAGCTTGACTGCCCGGAGGGCGAGGTAAGGCTTGGGTTGCAGGATGCCAGTTGATTTGCAGAGTGGGCAGTGCTGAGGGAGGTCATTGCAAGTCTGTTTCTTTGGCAGAGTGCCTTGGAGATTGCCCATGCCAGCAGCTCCTTGGTTTTTTGGGGGAGTGGGCAGCCCCTTTCCTCGTTGTCATGGTGGCTGGCAAGGTGAGGAGGACACTCTGGGAGGAATTGTCATGTTAAGGCTGGTCAGAAGCTTTATTTACCTTTGTAGATGGCTACTGTAAGTGATTGTTTTGAATTGCAGTAGGATGATGGCCTTAGGATTTCTAGCTCATTGGACACGTGTAGCTATTCTTGAGTATCGCCTTTAGTACTGGACTTGCAGACTAGCTGCCAAGCCACAGGAAGAGGATGGTAACTGCGAGTCTTGCGGAATAGCCGCGAATCGCGGACTAGCCGCGAATTATTGGATGAGCTGCGAATTGCGGACTAGCCGCGATCTAGTGTGTGGCCAATGTAAGCGATTATTTTGAATGGCAGTAGGATGATGGGTTTAGGGCTTCAAGCTCATTTGAGATCTGTAGCTATACCGCAGTAACTCATTAACTGGCGGAATTGCGGACTAGCCGCGAAGCCATAGGATGAGCAGGCTATCTGCGAGTTTCGCGGACTAGCCGCCAATCGCGGACTAGCCGCGAATTCTTGGAATAGCGCGGCGAATTGCGGAATAGCCGCGATTGACAGTACAGTTAGTAGAAGACCTGCGGATAGCTCGCGAGTTAGGCATCTGTATCAGAGTCGGTAATGTGGGAAAGTTGCGGATAGAACGCGACTGCTGCGAAATCGCGGATAGCCCGCGACTTGGCGGATTAGCCGCCGAAACAGTAGCAGAATGCGAGGCTAGACTAGATATATGTGCCCAGTAATCCTTATTCCCTATATAGTCTTCTGCAATTTTAGCTTTGATTTTCCTTATGATTGTCCAGGACTCAGAGCACACGATCGTTGGCCTCGGAGACGGGGGCCGATTCCTCGAGCCCTCCGAATGCCCATCGGTTCTTGATGAACACGGCCCACCAAGAGTTGGAGAAGGCCCTAACAGGCCTGCCTCCTGCTGCAGTTTCTCTAGTCCGGTTTAGGCCGAGCATGGCAGAGCCAGGGACCCGATGTGCATCTGTGCAGGATCCGGCAAGCTTGGCAAGAGTGAGAAGAAAGAGAAAAAGAAGAAGGAGAAGTCCAGCAAGAAAGGACCGTGCTTCTGTGATTTGAGAACGGGAGCACGTTCAGTTCTGGATTGGGTCTTTTTGCCAGGATTGTTGCAACAACTTTTGCTGTATCCGTGCCAATGCAGGCCGTTCCTCTGAGTCGGACGAGAGCTCTGATGCGGACAGCGAGGAGGCTACGGAGGACAAGCAGGGCCTCTTCCGCCTGCTCAACAAAGAACTTGCGAGGTCCCTCGACCAGACGAAGCTGGAGGACCTCAGCTGCCAGCAGTTCAGCATACACTTTGTCTGGACTGACAAAGTATGTGGTGGCCTCCGACATTTTGCAGGTGGGGGGCGAGAGTGTGCCTTGGTTTGACTGACTGCAGAGTGCATGAAGAGGGTTGCTGTTTACAAGTCTCTGTTTGGCTGCTAGACAGCTTAGGCAGATGTCCTAGGGCCCGAGGGCTATGGGAAACCACCTCTGAGGAGTCCTTGCTC